AGAGAGAGAGAGAGAGAGAGAGAGAGAGAGAGATTAAAAAATTTAAAAATAATGAGCTTTAAAACAGTAGTTAACAATATAAAACTTTACTATCAATATATCTGAAGCATAATTAACACCGCATTCAATGCAAACCAATTGAAATAAAAAATTCAAAGCAATCAAACAAACAATAGTTTAATTAACAAAAACATAACATACAATCGGATTATCAAATAGTCGGGGCATTAAAGTATAGGTACGACCGCTGGTCCGACACACGCCTCGCAATACTGTCGCCCGAAACGGCATTTCGTCACAAAATGTATGCGAAGATTATGTCCGCGACTATCGGTCGGCAAACTCTCTCCATATCTATTCAACGCTCGCAAAGCGTCGGCTAATATGGTGTCGACGGAGCGGACGGACAGTTGTCTGGTCTGCGAGAATCGCAACAAATTATTCACTCGACAACTCTTGTTGTTATTGAGGCAAACGGTGTCCAACTTTTGCCGCAACACACGGTTAGTGTCGGGACAGACGTACACTATATAGTGGTCGCCGACATACACACCCCATACGGTGGAGCAGTCCATACGGGTGCCCACGATCTCGATTATGTCGCCCTCCGACGCCTCCAGACCTCTATAATCGGTGAAACTTGTGTCACACGACTGTTTGGCCGCGAGTGTCGGATGGGGTGCCACAACCGGGGCGTCCATCTCATCGCCTGACGGGTTGAGACCCGACTCGTCGAGTCTGGCCTTCAGTTTAGTCAACAAATAGATTGGAAAAAATTTCAAGTCAAATGAATCAAACGATTTGATTGTCCCAAACATATCCTGTATGATCAGCAGCTCATTGGCCGACAAACGCCAGCCAACCATACGGGTCAACACATCGGCGCAGGTCGGCCTTTGGTCGTATAGGGGCTCAGTTAACATCTCCATTATGGGCTCGTGTAGGCACAGGTACTTCTCTTTTAACTCCAAGTGTTTGGTTTTCATAGACTTATCAAACCTAATGAAATGAAAATTAAAACATTTAACAATGTTTATACAGTAATAACCAGTAAAAAACAATGCATACGAATNCGCAGGTCGGCCTTTGGTCGTATAGGGGCTCAGTTAACATCTCCATTATGGGCTCGTGTAGGCACAGGTACTTCTCTTTTAACTCCAAGTGTTTGGTTTTCATAGACTTATCAAACCTAATGAAATGAAAATTAAAACATTTAACAATGTTTATACAGTAATAACCAGTAAAAAACAATGCATACGAATAGGCGTTTACGGCAAACAATTCGCCACAAATTAAGCCCAAACTATAAATATCGGACTTCGGGTCATAGTGTGAACTGCGGACCACTTCGGGCGCCATATAAGTGATGTCTCCCTTGTCTTTGGTGTGCGACTGTCCGCTATAGTTGTGAGGCTTAGCGTAACCGAAGTCACAGATCTTAATGAACTGTCGCCGCAGAGAACCCCCGGCGCCGCACAGGGAGTTCACGACCAGTATATTCTCGGGTTTGAGGTCCCGGTGTATAATAGGTGTGTCCAAAGTGTGCAAATAGTTGAGGCTTTTGGTCAACTCCTCAAACAATTCATACGCTATGAAGTAATCAATGAGTGCTAACACATAGACAACACTCGTGTCGTCGACCGAGGGTTGGCTGAAGAGACGGTTTTTGGCGTTTATTACTTCACGCAGATTATGGTCGCAGAACTCGGTCTCGATGTGCAGTCTCTGGCCCTCAATCCATGCGCTCCGGAACTCAACCACAAAATCGCTGCGAATTTGTGACAAACACTGACACTCTTTGTTAAACGACTCGTTATTTTTATCACTGATTTCTGTAAATAAATTTATAATACCTTATAATAACTTAAAATAATTTTAATTATATAAAACTGTGAGTTATGTAAAATAAATGATGCAAATTTACATTAAATTAAAAATGTTTTTAATGAATAGTTTTAGTAATCACAATTACCTTGATAAAACATCTTGATGGCGTATATAGTGTTGGTTTGTTTGTCTCTAACTTTAACCACCTTGCCAAAACTGCCGTTACCTATTTTGCCCAGCACTTCAAATTGATCGTTCAAATTGCCCTCGATCGTCTTGATAATTGCCCCATTTAACGGTACTATCACACTTTCCACATTTGTATCACACATTTTGTCATAGATAGGTTAATAATATTTTAATTCATTTAGCTAAAATGCAATTTATAACTGATATATTAGGGCATGAAATATTATAATTAGTTAATATTAATTAAAAACTTTAATAAATAATGTTTATATTACTCACAACAGGAGTCCATATTAAATATGATTACAAAATCCATTGTCAATACAGAGTGTGTGTTAAGTAATTGTCAGATAAAAAGCTTATCTCTTTTAAGAAATACAATCACAACGAAAATAATAAAAATGTTAAATAAAATATTTTTATAACTTTATTCATAAAAATGTGTGTTATTTGTACTTATTATTCAGAAATCTCTGTATAAAAAATATATTTTTAATTAATCTTAATAATTAATATAAAATACATAAATATAAAATTAACTAATTTTCATACAAAATATTATACTGTACTCAAAATAACAGCAAAATATTTATCATCAAAAAATATCGGCCACTTCTTGAGTGCATTTCTCGCAATACTGTCGACCGAAACGGCATTTCGTCACAAAATGCATGCGAAGATTGTGTCCGCAATCAGTCGGCAAACTGTCCGAGTATTTACTCAACGCTTGGAAAGCATCGGCTACTATAGTATCGACCGTTCGGGCGGACAGTTGTCTCGGAACAGATATATCATCCAAATTATTCACTCGACAACTCTTTTTATCCTCACAGCAAACACTGTCTAACCGGCGGTGGAACAGGCGTTTTGACTCCGGGCACACGTATACGATATACCCGTCACTCACATACAGACCCCATATGTTTGTACAACACGTGCCTTTGGCCCGGATCTCGATTATGTCCCCTTCGGTCGCATTCAGAGTATTATATTCGGTAAAACTCATATTTCGTGTTAGTGTTGGCTCAATGGGACCGTCAGTCTCGGCACAACCGACCAATTGGTCAGTCTCTTCGTCGTCGAGTCGGGCCTTGAGTTTAGTGACCAGAAAATTGGCGAAAAATGCGCCCTCAGAGCCATTAAACGTACTGATTGTGTGCAACCCTTTCTTTATTAACAGCATTTCCTGTGCGGACAAACGCCAGGCGCTAATTGTGGTCAACAGTTGGCCAGTAGTCGGTCTCAATTCGTACTGAGGCTCAGTTAGCATTGCCAGTATGGGCTCGTTTAGGCACCGGTACGTGTCCTGTAGTCTCGTGTGTTTGCCTTTGATTGACTTTTCAAAACTAGTTAATAATAAAAATTTTTAATATTAAGACCACTATTTAAAAAACTTATGATAAAATAAATGCATACGAATAGGTGTTGACACCAAATAATTGGCTGCATATAAGGCCCAGACTATAGACGTCTGACTTCTGGTCGTAATGTGTGCTTTTGCTCACTTCGGGTGCCATATAGTCGACTGTCCCCCTGTCGTTGGTGTGCGACTGACCGCTGTATTTGTGATGTTTGGCGTAACCAAAGTCACAGATCTTGAGAAACTGGCGGCGCTGGCCATCAGCGGCCGGCACCTCATTGAGCACGAGTACGTTCTCGGGCTTCAGGTCCCGGTGTATGAGTGTTGTGCTCAAAGTGTGCAAATAGTTTAGACTTCTGGTCAACTCTTCAAACAATTCGTAGGCAATAAAGTACTCAATGAGTGCTAACAGATAGGTATCGCTGGTGTAGACGGCGGGTGTGGCCGATGGGGTACTAAAGAGTCGCTGTTTGGCGTTAATAATATCCTGTAGATTATGGTCGCAAAACTCTGTCTGAATGTACAGCTTCTGGCCCTCAATCCATGCGCTCCGGAACTCAACCACAAAATCACTTCGGATTTGTGACAAATATCTGTGCTCTTTGATAAATAACTCGCTGTGTTTTGAGTTTATTTCTACCATAATATATGATCAGGTCAATTAATATGCGTTTTTTATACATAAAATTATTATGTATAAAACTTTAAATATTTAATACTTACTTTCATGAAATATTTTGATAGCATGTGTTTTGTCGGTCACTTTGTCGGTTACTTTGACTACTATGCCAAAACTGCCCACTCCTATATCAGCCAGCCACTCAAATTGATTGCCATATTTACCCTCATTGATCTCGATATGAAGCTCTATTTCACTCATTGTAGAACAAGTAAGTTGTTGTTAAATTCAAACAATAAATAACAAACAAACTTTATCATTCTGATTTACATTAATGGTTATATACTCTAGTTTTGAATGTGTAATATCAGTATCACTCGTCATAATAGGAGTCCTTAATAGGAGTGCTTACCTATGATTGCAAAACCAATTGTAAATCCCGTGAATGTGTTGAGTAGGGTTGGCAATATACAAAATTTGTATTATACAATTGTATTATTCCTTGTATTATACACTGTATAATACAAAGCAAGATTGCCTTTTTGTATAATACAAAAGTGGTACAGCGCCACCTATTGGTAAAATATTGTAAACACGTCAAAACACCTGAAAATTGTTTGAAAAAGCAATTGAATCAACCGTTCTATGTGATACAATTATTAATTAATACAATATAACATGTATAGTTAATAAGATAAATGCATTAAAACTGTTTAATTGTTGTTTTTAAAACATATTAATTTTTTCCCCATAGTA